ATGATATCACTATATTGTACCATCCGAGGAAGGACAATGTAGTGGCCGATGCCTTGAGTAGGAAGGTGGAGAGATGGGTAGCTTGGCACTTATATCGGCAGTGGAGAGATCATTGGCCATGGATGTTTAGGCCTTGGCTAACGGATTTGTGAAGTTGGATATTTTGGAGCATATTAGGGTCCTTGCTTATGTTGTGGAACAATTATCTTTGATGAAGCACATCAAGGCTCGCCAGTTTGATGATCCTCACTTGTTGGTGTTGAAATACACGGTGCATCGGGGTAGGGCTAAGAAGGTTTTGATTGGGGATGATGGTGTTATGCGGCTTCAGGACCGGATTTGTGTTTCGAATATTAACGGTTTGAGAGAGTTGATCCTTGAGGAGGCTCATGCTCACGATATTCCATTCGTCTAGGTGTCATAAAGATGTATCGTGACTTGAAGCAGCATTACTGGTGGCGGAAGATGAAGAAAGACATTGTTGGACATGTCTCCTGGTGTTTGAATTGTCAACAGGTGAAGTATGAACATCAGAAACCCGGTGGTTTGGCTCAGAAGTTGGTGATACCGGAGTGGAAGTGGGAGTGCATCACTATGGACTTTGTGGTAGGCTTACCACGGACCTTGAGGAAGTATGATGTTGTTTGGGTCATTATGGACAGATTTACTAAGTCTACACACTTCATCCCGGTGATGACTTCCTACTCTTCAGAGGGTTTGGCTCTTATTTACATCTGTGAGATTATTCGCTTGCACGGTGTGCCCATTTTTATTATTTAAGACCATAGAACGTAGTTCACTTCACACTTTTGGAGAGATGTGCAGCGTGAGTTGGAATTAATTATTGGGGACAGACAGACCGGTAAAACAACAGTATCCACAGATATGATTCTCAATCAACAAGGTCAAAATGTAATATGTGTTTATGTAGCTATTGGGAAAAAAACATCTTCTGTGGCCTAGGTCGTAACTACTTTATAGGAAAGGGGAGCGATGGAATACACTATTGTGATAGCCGAAACGACAGATTCCCCTGCTACATTACAATACCTTGCTCCTTATACAGGAGCAGCTCTGGCTGAATATTTTATGTATCGTGAACGACTAACTTTAATCATTTATGATGATTCCTCCAAACAAGCGCAAGCTTATCGCCAAATGTCTCTTCTATTACGAAGATCGCCCGGTCGTTTACTGTGTTTCACCCACATACGGATGGGTAGTCCAAGTGGACCATTCATATTTTGGAGGATATTTTGAGGGCACACACTATTATCTTTGGAGGTTAATGGCACTAAATTCTACCTCTAGCGGAGTTTGCCTATAAACTATCAGCCGAATATCTATATGGCTCCATATGAGGCCTTGTATGGGAGGCGATGATGTTCTTTAGTTGGCTGGTTTGAGCATGGCAAGGCTAGATTGTTAGGCACAATTTAGTTCGTGATGCCTTGGAGAAGGTGATATTGATTCAGAAGAGGCTCCATATAGAATAGTCCAGGCAAAAGAGTTATGTTGATAGGAAGGTTGGAGATGTGGCTTACATAGAGGGTGAGGAGGTTCTTCTTCGAGTTTCGCCTATGAAGGGCGTGATGCAATTTGGGAAGAAGGGTAAGTTGGTCCCGAGGTTTATTGGCCAGTTTAAGATCTTACATACATTTGGAGAGGTTGCTTACAGGTTTGCATTGCTCCTAGCCTAGTAGGGGTATATCCAGTAGTTCACGTTTCCATGCTTCAGAAGTGTCATGAGGATAGGTCACATATTCTGGACTTTAGCACGGTGCAACTTGATGAGAATTTGACATGTGCGGAAGAGTCGGTGGCTATTCTAGACCGATAGGTTCAAAAGTTGAGATCTAAGGATATTCCTTCTGTGAAAGTGCGTTGGAGAGGTCAGCCAACTAAGGAGGCTACTTACATGAGGAGTAGATACCCGCATCTTTTTACCAGTCTAGGTACATTTCTATGTCCGTTTGAGGACGAACATTTCTTTTAGAGGTGGAGAATGCAACGACCCAATAGGTCATTTCGAGTACTACCTCACCAATTTGTGTTTCGAGATCTTTCATAGCTCTATTTGATGATTTATGACATGTGTGCATGGTTCGGGTCAATTTTAAGAAGGTTCAAATGTGATTTTTTAAAGAAAATGTGATTTTTGACTTTGAAAGTTACTAGAGTTGACCATGGTCAACATTTTTTTTAAACGAACTCGGATCAGTGTTTTGACGATTTCGGTAGGTTCGTATGATAATTTTGTACTTGTACGCATGTTTAGTTGGGATTCGGGTGACCCAAGGCTATTTCAACGCTTTATGTAGAAAGCTGGAAAATTGAGTTTGATCTTTGGTGATCGATTCTTTATTTGAGATGATATTGTGATGGTTTGAGCTTATGAGCAAGCTCTTTGTGGTTAATATACTTGTATGAATGTTCTTATTGGAGCCTAAGGGGCTCGGGTGATTTTCGGATAGGTTGTAGACTATTTTGGAATAGCTGTAGAGTTGCTGGTCATGATGGGCTGCGGATCTCGCATTTACGAGAATCTATTCGCAAATGCAAGCCTTACATTTGCAAGAGTTTTCTTGCATTTGTGAAGTTAGGAAGGGACTACGCAGCTTCCCTTTTGCGATGTTTAGCTCACTTTTGTGAATGGTCGGGCTTTGCAATTGCGAGAGTTGTGTTGTAATTGCGATACTAGAGAGCTAGGGAACAACAACAAACCCAGTATATTCCCAACAGGTGGGGTCTGGGGAGGGTAGTCTCTACGCAGACCTTACCCCTACCTAATGCAGGTAGAGAGGATGTTTTCAATAGACCCTCAGCTCAAAAAGGGTAAGAGGAAAGCAAGGAAGGAAGAAAGAAGGAAGATAAAAGAAAAAGTGAGAGATAAAGGATAAGTAGTACCAAATAATAGCAACAGGGAATACAATACCTGAGGCGAACAAAATCACATAACGTAATAAAAATCTAAGAATATCAAGGGACATGCGTGCTACTAAGACTATCGGTGAACAACTAAAAACTACCCACTAACCTTCTACCGTAGTCCTCAGTGAGTTGAAGCAGCGCCATGTCCTGTCTAATCACCTCTCCCCAGTACTTCTTAGGCCTACCTCGACCTCTTCTCAAACTCTCCATCGCCAACCTCTCACACCTCCTAACAGGAGCATTAATGCTTCTTCTCTTAACATGTCTGAACCATCTCAGCCTCGACTCCCGCATCTTGTCCTCCACGGAGGCTACTCCCACTCTATCCCGGATAGCTTCATTTTTAATCTTATCTCTTCTGGTACACCCACACATCCATCTCAACATCCTCATCTCTACTACTTTCATTTTCTGCACGTGGGAGTTCTTGACTGGCTAACACTCAGCCCCACACAGCATAGCCGGTCGAACCACCACTTTATAAAACTTACCCTTAAGTCTTGGCGGCACATTTTTATCACATAAAACACCGGAAGCGGGCCTCCACTTCATCCATCCCACTCCGATGCGATGTACGACATCTTCGTCAATCTCCCCGTTACCTTGGATAATAGACCCGAGATACTTAAAACTCGCTCTCTTGGGGATAACTTGAGCATCAAGCTTTACCTCTACGTCTGCTTCATGGGTCCCGTCACTGAATTTGCACTCCAAGTATTCTGTCTTGATTCTACTCATTTTGAAAGCTTTAGACTCTAGGGTCTATCTCCAAAGCTCCAACCTCGCGTTAACTCCGCTTCGTGTCTCGTCAATCAATGCTATATCATCGGCAAATAGCATGCACCAAGGCACCTCCACTTGGATGTGTCGCGACAGTACATCCATCGCCAAGGCAAATAAAAACTGGCTAAGAGCCAATACCTGGTGCAATCCCATCACCACAGGAACATTCTCTGAGTCACCACCCACAGTCCTCACCCGAGTCTTAGCAGCATCATACATATCCTTAATTACCCTGATGTATGCTACCGGAACGCCTCTAACCTCCAAACACCTCCACAGGACCTCCCTCAGGACTTTATCGTACGCTTTCTCATGGTTAATAAACACCATATGCAAGTCCCTCTTCCTCTCCCTGCACCGCTCCACTAATCTCCTTACCAGATGAATCGCTTCCGTAGTCGAATGCCCCGGTATGAATCCAAACTGATTCTCAGAAATAAACACGCACCTCCTCACCCTGGCCTCCACCACCCTCTCCCAAACCTTCATAGTGTGACTCAACATCTTGATATCCCTATAATTATTACAATTTTGGATATCACCCTTGTTCTTGTAAAGCGTAACCATCGTACTCCACCTCCATTCTTCGGGCATCTTCTTCGTCTTAAAAATAACATTAAACAGCCCAGTGAGCCACTCCAAACCTGCTCACCCCGTGCTCTTCCAAAATTCCACCGGAATTTCGTCTGGCCCCGTCGCTCTGCCCATGTACATCTTATGCATCGCCCCTTCCACCTCCTCTACCGTAATCCGCCTACAGTACCCAAAATCCCATCGACTCTCGGAGTGCTCCAACTCACCGAGCACAATGCATCTATCCCCTCCTCGTTCAATAGTTTATGGAAGTATATCTGCCATCTTCTCCTAATAAGTGCCTCATCCATCAATACTTTGCCATCCTCGTCCTTGATGCACTTGACTTGGTCTAAGTCACGGGATTTCCTCAACCTCACCTTGGCCAACCGGTACAACTTCTTGTCCCCACCTTTGCCCTTGAGCTCCTCGTACAAACTAACAAACGCCACGTTCTTAGCCGTCGTAAGTGCTAACTTTGCCTCTTTCTTACGCCACGTTCTTAGCCGTCGTAAGTGCTAACTTTGCCTCTTTCTTTTCCTTTCTGTAACACTCCTGATAAGTCCTTTTTTCCTCCTAGTTTGTACTCTCCACTAGCTTCAAATAAGTAGCTTTCTTAGTTTCTACTTTACCTTGGACCTATCCATTCCACCACCAGTCTCCTTTATGACCCCCAGGAGAGCCCTTCGTGACCCATAAGACCTCTCTAGCAGTTATCCTAATGCAATTCGCAGTCGTGAACCACATACTAGACGCGTCCCCCCGCTCATCCAGGCCCTCATAGCCAACAACTTCTCCCCTAACTCCTGAGCTTTGTCCTTGGTCAAGTTACCCCACTTGATCTTAGGTTTCCTGCACCCCGCCCTCTTCCTCTTACTCCTCTTAATCTCCAGGTCCATAACTAGGAGCCTATGTATGGTCGTGAGGTGCTCACTTGGGATGACCTTACAATCACTGCATAGACCTTTATCACATTTCCTACAGAGAAGATAATCAATTTGAGTCTTGCCCGTTGAATTCCGGAAAGTGACCACGTGCTCTTCCCTCTTCAGAAAACTCGAGTTAGCTATAACCAAATCAAAAGCTCTAGCAAAATCCAACAGTGAATTATCTCCCTCATTCCTATCCCCAAAACTGAACCCGCCATGCATATCATCATAACCCCTAGCACTAGCTCCAATATGGCCATTGAAATCTCTGCCAATGAACAACTTCTCTGTGTGCGGGATACTACGCACCATATCGTCCAAATCATCCCAGAATTGCTTCTTGACCTCCTAGTCCAAACCTACCTGAGGAGCGTATGCACTAATCATGTTTACAGTAAACCCACCAACTACAAGATTAATACTTATCAGCCTATCATTTACCCTCCTAACCTCGACCACGAGCTCCCTGAGGTCCCTGTCAACTAAAATACCTACCCCATTCTTACCCCCAGCACTTCCTGAGTACCATAGTTTAAACCCGTCTACATCTCGTGCCCTAGTACCCTTCCATCTAGTCTCCTGAACACATGCTATGTTGATCTTCCTCTTCTGAAGAATCTTACCTAACTCTATAGACTTCCCCGTCAACGTCCCAATGTTCCAAGACCCAACTCTCAGCTTATAGGCTTTCTTACCCCCTCTTCCCACCCCTGGACCCCACCCCCACCTCCACCCGAGGACATGACCTTACTCCCACATCGTTCACTACCGCCACTATAAGCAAAAGGTATTAGGTAAACACTACCACTAAGAACAAGTAGCGGGAACGAAGGACTACAAGCTATGAACCCGAGAGCTAAAAACAACTCAATGGCGCTACTACGAGAACAGTAACGTGAGCAGGCGCTAGAATAATGAATGTACCACGTCTAAGAAGCTACCCATATGCAAACACAGAATTAAAAGGGATAGATGAAACCTTAAGCTTAAAACACTAGTAGAAAAGATAGAAAAAGCAATCAATTCAACTACAGGTTACCGGCAAGGCAACCAAAACTAATAGATGTGTACACAAACAAAAATTGCCGGCAAGGCAACAGTTAATAGATGTGCGCAAATACAATTCAAGAAAGATGGAACCTGGATTACAGTCGGAGATGTCCGGACGCACTTTCCAATCCGCTGAATGTTGCTGCCTCCCGAACCCATGTGCTTAAACTTGGCTAAAATTTCCTCTCCCACTCTGTCCAAGATATACAAAAACCACAAACTGCCTAGGTCGCCGCCTAGGACTGCTGGTCCGGGCAATAAAATGGGACAATGGAAGAAAGGAGAAGAAACAAAGAAAGAAAGAAAAAAGAAAAGGGGCTGTCGAGGGGGAAAGAGATCAAGAGAAAGAGAAGGGGAGTGGAGAACACAGAAAAGGGGAAGAACGAGAATAGACGGAGAAAATAAAAGAGAAAACCTTACCTCACATGCGTTGATACGTGAATTGTCGCCGGAAAAACGTGGCATGCAGAAATTTTCAGAAGCAGCGTTCTTTTGGAATTTCAGACGCACCGTTCCAATGTAATATACACTTGTTACTAGTTCAAATTTTGAAAATGATTGAAACACTCTTCTTTGTTAGATCTGACCGGAAAGTTTTGGTGATTTGTCAATTTCACCGAAAAGGTGATGAAATTGATCGATAGAAACAAGAAACTGGGACCCGATTCTTGTGCCTTTTAAACGTAATGAGAACATAAAGGCAAAACACAGAGCAGTAAACAAGTGGACACACACAGTAGAGTATGGAGGTGAAAATTCTAATGTGAATGCTTCAATTTGATGAGAAGTTCGTCGTCGCCGGCGTGTTTGGCAATATCCGCAAGTGGAAGAAACTCAAAAAAAAAAATACTCCCCTTAGTTTACAGACGCCACAATAAATGATACTCCTAATTAGTTTACATGAGTTAAATAATAAACACCAACATATTACAATAGAGAGCTAGGGAACAACTTCGCTTTTGTGAGGGGCTGCACCTTTGCAAATGCGAAGATTTTGTTGCATTTAAGACATCCTAGAGGCTCGGGAACTGTTCGCATTTGCGACGAGTGGTTTGGTTTTGCGAACAAGAGTTCACAATTGCGATACCTGTAGTTAGGTAAAAGACTAGAATTTCGGTTCTTAGCTCATTTTATACTATTTTTTAGACCTAGACTCCATAGAGGCCATTTTTGGAGAGCAATTTCTTCCCAACTTTATAGGTTAGTAACTTTAGATTATTTCATTTTGAATTACTTTTTCATGAATTTTCACCACCAAATCTAAGATTTAATAGGGTCGAAATTGGAATATTGGGTAGAAATTGGAGATTTTGACCTCAATTTGAGGTCGGATCTCGAAACAAATCACATATTCAGGCTCAAGAGTCAATGGGAAATCAGGATTTAGTCTTAATTTCGGATTTTGACCATGTGGGCCGCGTTGACTTTTTGTTGACTTTTTCAAATATGTTAAAAATCGAACCTTTTTCATACGAGGGTAGTTTCTAAAGCTTGTTTTGATTTATTTGAATAATATTTGACTAGATTTGGGTTGTTTGGAGGTTTATTCTAAAGGGAAACCGTGTTGGATTGTTAATCTTGTTCTAAAAAGAGGTAAGTATCTCGGTTAAGCTTGATTTGAGGGAATTAGGGTGTAATTGAGTCTATTTGCTACGTGACTTACGTGTTAGGGGCGGCGCATATGCAAGGTGATGAGTGTATTTGCATTGGCCGTGGGTTAAGCATGCAGGTAGTGTTAGCTTTATTTGTACCATGTTTCTTTATATATTATGTATTCTATTCTTTAGATAGATTGTGAAACTCTTTGATTTCCCTTATCTATATTATTATCCATGTCGAGCTTTTTGAGATTTGGGTGTCAAGACTATCGAATTATTGATTTGGTTATTGGTGCAAAGGTGTTGGTAAATTCTCATATGGCAATTTATGTTCAAATATTATCTTTGATGTCGATTATGCTTCCCACCTTACTCTGTATCGTGTTGTATGTGGTGCTTGGTAATAAAGAGTGAAATACATGAAGGGTGTTTTTATGCTTGTGAGGTAGCGTGATTGCACACGAAAGTATTTCGTGCTTTATTCATATATCAATATCATTGCATGAATGTTGTTACCGTGCTTTAGAGGAAGTGAGGATAGGCATGAAGGTGTTTCCATGCTAGCTATTATATTATGTAGTGAGGATGAGAGAAAAGGTACGAAGGGTGATGCCATGTCATTTGTTTATTTCATTCTTCTTTATTGTGCTATTCAGATTCAGGACTTGGCTTTATGGCTTCGTAATTTACCTTTGAAAGGTTGGTTTAGAGTTATAGAAGCATGAGTTGTGGTTTACTCAGTAGCACCTTCCCTTACTTTTCGTTTCGTGTCCATTTACTTTTGTGCTTATTATCTCTCTCACATGTTGTTATCATGTTATTATACTTGATACTTTATTTGTCATCTCATTATTCCTTGATACTTAGTGCCACCATTTTTTTGTAGGTGTCTTGTCTTAGCCTCATCACTTCCTCATCGGGCTTAGGCTCGACACTTACAAAGTATATTGGGTCGGTTATACTCATGACACTTCAGCACTTCTTGTGCAGATTCGGACATTGGTACCGGTAGAGTCCCAAGAGGTGCTTAGAGGATACCAGATAGACGACTCGAGGTAGAGTTGTATACCGTTCGCCGACCATAGAGTCATATTTCCATTTCTATTGTATTTTCTACTTTCCAAACAATATTGTATTTCTTTCAAGATAATGTATTTAGTAAACTCTAGTAGCTCATGCACTCGTGACTCCACGTCTTGGGATTGTTGATCGTCGGTGTTGATCTTTAGACTTATTATGTATGCTGTGGTGTCATTTTACCCTAAATTATCATTTTGTTGCTAATTGTTAGCTTCATTACTTCTGTATTTGATGTTATGTGTCAGCTTGCCTAGCAAGAGGAGTTAGGCGCCATCACAATCCGTGGGTTGGGATTTTGGACCATGACAGTAATCCACTTTCCCACAACGTACTTCTTTTTTTCTGCATCATCTGTATCATATTTCTTTTTCAAATTGTTTCATATGAACTTTGCATATTTATAAGTAATAATTAAACCAAATAGAGGGTTAGTCATACGATTCAGGAGATATCTTCTAACGGTTTTGTTATCCTTTTTGAATTTCTTCTTCACAACATCATCAATAGCCTTATTAGTAGTACTAGAACCAGTAGTACAACCACATTAGTCAGAGGTTCATTAAACAACACATAATCTACTTCTAATTATTCAACAAAAATCAAAAGTTTCTGAGACCATTGTTTAGAATTATTTTCGTACAAAGATTTTAGTTTTGACAAATCAAGAAGTGTTTTGTTAAAAGAAAGAACATTCGATCAATATTTGTAACCACCCGACCAGTCATTTTATGTATTTGAGCCTCGATCCTCTATTTGATGCTTCCCGTATGCTTGTTTTTTGTTATGTGACATGCGGGGATAATTGGTTTGGTTTTGGGGAGGTTTTGGAATGAATTAGAACACTTAGTTCCATGGTTGGAAGATTAAGTTGTAAGAGTTGACCAAGGTTTGACTATTTGTAAATGACAACGAAACGGTATTTTAATAGTTTCAATTGATTCATATGTTGCTTTTGGACTTAGGCATATGTATTTGGATTTGGAGGTTCCTAGGTTAATTTTGCTATAATTGTCGAATGTTGGAAATTTAAAGGTTTGGAAGGTTCATAGGTTTGATCGGGAGTTGACTTTGACATTATCATGTTCGGATTATTGTTCCGGGAATTGGTATAAGTCTGTTTTGTCATTTGGATTTTGTGTGTAAAATTTGGGTTTATTCCGGATTAGTTTGGCTTGAATCAGATGCTTGGTTTGAAGTTGGAAGTTTATGAACTTAAGAGATTGAATTGATTGATGATTCTTGGGTTTGATGTTAACTACAGTATTTGGAGCCTTTGAATAGATTTGGGTAATATATTGGGACTTGTTGGTATGATTGGATGGGGTCCTTAGTGGCTGGGGTGCGTTACGGATGGAGTCCGGACCATTTTGAAGATAAATGACAGTTCTGGTGTTGCGCACATGCGGGGTTTGGTTCATAGGTGTGAGTCCGTAGAAGCGGACGTGAGGTCACAAAAGACGGGTTTGGCTGAGAAGCTGGAAGTCCGCATCTACTGATGATTCAGCGCAGAAGCGCAGGCGCATCTGCGAGGCTTGTTGCACAGATGTGGCCCCATAGAAGCGGAACTTGCTGTGCCAAAGCAGA